TTTTTTTTTTGCTACAGGTCGTGGTGGGCGTGTCGGAACTCATGGAGGTACCTTGTCATCCTATATAGTCAAGAATATTGCACTGGATAAGACAGATGATAGCAACCCTCGAGAGGCTATTTTACGTCATGCAAAGGAGGCGGAGGAGAATCCATACTGGGTTGCTCCGGCATATGCTAAGTAAGGAAACAAGTAAAAATACAAGTAATATTTCTGGAGGCCAGTGGGAGTTTGGTAAAAATAGAAGATACACATTTTTAATGGTATTCTTTGCCTTTTCTGGATTGCTGCCATGAATACATAAACTAAGAATATGCCATACTCTTTTATGAAGATACGAGTTTCCAGAAGCTTAAATTGTTGAAATTTGACATTTCCATTTTTCAGTTGTACCTGTCAGTGCTAGAAAATTATTTTAAAGCTTTCTAAGTTGATTAGAATTTAGAATCTTCTCCAAATCAATGTCTGAAATTGCAGTATACCTTTTAATAAGGTACTGTCCCATTGACAGACTGGGATGATGAGTTTTCCAGTACGCCCTCTAGTTCTTAATGATTCTTAGGTCAAACCTTCAAAATATTTACTTGGTGTTATGACAGCATATTTTAGATGATTTCTCAAATGTCATAAGTTTTTATTTGAATTTTTCCTACATAAGGACCTGAGTACCTGCTTGGTGTTAAAGGTACAGTAATATTAAAAATTGCACTGATAAAATCTCCTACCAAAAATTCAACATAAAGAAATAAGTGTTCAGTTGTTACTACATAAATTAAAGAGCCTCGTCAAGATTATGGTAGTAAAATCTCAGTAATCCCACAGATGGTAACTCACTCAGTTTAAATTGGATGTGTGAGTGTGGTATTTGTGTGTATGCATTACAATGAAAATTGTACAATATGCTTCTAGAATGCTTTCTACCAAAGATTTTTTTTTCTAAAAATAAATACAATTCAAACCATTAAATATATTCACAATAGTACTAAAACAAATAAATGCATTTCGTAATAATGAACAGAAACTAACACTTTAAAAATTACTAAAATTTTCACATTTTGTTATTATCATTGACATTTTTGTTACAGAAAATAATCTCTTGTAATAAGTAGTATTTTCAAAATGCGTAGGGAAAAGCTTTTGAAGAGATGAAATAGTCTGCACAGAACAACCTGCTGATAACAAACTATTTTTTTCTTTTTTGCAGCCCAGTGTTTTATGTCCTTGGCTGTATGTTCGCTAGTGCTTTACTGACTGTACTTTCTTTATTAGCATTTAGCTCTTCCGTGAAACAATCACCACCTCTTTCCAGAAACTCAAAATATATTAAGAATCATAGCTGTTTCTAGTAGTGACACTTGTTTTCTGACTTGACCCACATGTTCACAAAGATAACTGAATAGCTGTTCCAAAGCAGCTTGAGAACGTCAGTGACCCAGCCTGGCTTTGACTGGGTAATTAATAAGTACGGTATACTGGTAAGTAATAAGTATGGCATTTGATGTTGTACATCAAATCAATGCATTATACAGTATCACCCTTGTTACAAAAGAAGGAATATTTGAAAGCCTGATTCTGTAACAGTTGTTGTAATGAATATGCTAAATATTGATTTTTAATTGTTTGCGAGTTCATATTTGTAAGAGATGAAGCTTACTTTGAATGTGTAGGCACCTGGTTTTATTTGAAATATGCAACTATCCATACTCAAAAGTAAACACAATCGCACATTCCATCAGGTGAATAGATACCTCAGTATATTTTTGGCTCAGTAACTTCATTGATTGTATATTAAGTTTCATCCCTGACACCTGCAATGTAGTAGACATGAAAGTTTTAAAACATAGCTGTATTAGAGAAGGCTTACTGTGTCAGGTGGGCAGATCTCATTACAGTTTCTTGTTAAAGATGTAGCTGCAGGGGAAGAAGAGAGCTGGCTGAGAAGTGGGGACGGTGCAAGTCCAGACTGCTATTAACTTACACACCAGACGGTGATATGTATGTGGGGGAACTGGGCTGCAGCCAACAGTGTGCTGCCTTGATGGTTTTGTCAGCTGATAAATCTCATGCCAGTGGAACGGCTGTTATCCTTGCTTCAAAAGCTTGACTTTAAGATGTACTCTATGCAAAGAGTTATTATTGTTATTATTAGCGTTAGCTAAGACACTGAAATGCGAAAACTTTATAATTGTGTTATGTTCTTAATTTTCAGAAATTGAGGTCTGTATTAACAGTTGCAGACCAATGGCAGTCAGAGATTCTGTTAGCTGCTTGCCTGCACACACAGATAATATAGAAAGCTGTGTTAATTATATCCTATATCTGACTTTACAGGGCATATATGTTTACCCTGTGTGTAAAGCATCTTACAGATGTTCTTATAGCTGCTTATTTAATAAAATAGGCAAATTAGAAGTAATTATCACATAATACTGAATTGCAAGAGTGTCCCTGGTGGCACTGTTAAAATCAGGAGTTCGTAATAACGAGCAGTATACAAACCTAGCGAAACCGGCTGCTTTAGCTATAGTATAAGATATACTGTAGAGTTAGGAAAGGTGATATTCTGATACATACTTAAAATTAAATACTGTCTTGAGACGTAAAAAATATACATCCAGTATGTTTTGGGTTTTTTAAGTAGTGTTTATTATTTTTATTATTTCTCTGCCACCAGTTTTTCCACATTTCTTGTAGTAAATTTTCACTTAAATATGGTATAAAACTATCCACTTGATATATCTCTTGTTTGACAAGGCTTTTGTTTTTGTGTTAACAGGTGGTTATTCATTTACAGTTTTTCATTCTCCTTCTTAAGACAATGTCTAAGGAAACTATAGTTACTTAATTTTCTTCAGTGATGGTTATTAAATAATTTTAGACTGAGAAGACTAAGAAACGCTCTTTTTCTGGTTGATCAGAGTTTTCATAACTCTGATCGTGATGACTGTTAGAGTTTGACTGGTCCTGATTCATACTGATTAGGTCATTCTAAATCAGATAACGAATTTCATGGTTTTTTAATTGTATTTTCACTTCAATAGTTCTTATAAGAAATACCTGCAACATGATTTTTGCTGTTAGCTTATATATTGTATGTAAAAATATATCCTTTTTGTTGGAGGTAAAGGTGTCTAATTTATTCTTGAAGCCAAATAGTAATTGGCAATATTTTTCACTTGAAATAATTTTTTCAAGCTTGTTATCAGTAGTCTGACCTTTTTGTTTCTCCTAAAATTTGAGCTGGAAAAGGAGGGGGAAATATGTAGGAGGCAAAAGGATGGGTAGAAAAAACAGATGCTGCTAAAAAGGATACTGGGGATGATAAGAAGTACATGGTGAATCAGGTGATGACATGTCACAGAAGCCCAATGTGAATAAAGTGTCAAAAAAGATGTGATCAACATGGCAGAAAAGTCATAATGGATGAGGATAAAGAAAAGATCTTGAGATTTTTCAGGAAGAAGCTCGTTAGAGACCTTGGCAAGAGCCATTCCAGTGGACTGAAAGAAAAGGAAGGACAGATTGAAGATTTCAAGTGAAGAACTACAGGAAAGGAACTTGAGGCATCAGTTGTAAATGTTTGAAAATTACATTCTTTGTGAGCTGTTTGTTTTAACACAGCTGTACAGAGATACTATAGTGACTTCAGATGTCCCTCCGAAGGATCAGCAAAAGAATTACTAAGCATTGTAGCTGAGGGCCTAATCAGGCCCAGATGTAGCTCTCTTCTGTACCATAGGGAAGGTGAGGGTGAAATTTCCCTCCCCACCAAGACAGACCAGAGTTCTTAGAAAATACCTTTCAGTTCAGTGATGTTGCCCCTGTTTTGCTGTCTCTGTCACTACTGCTTGTCACAGGCAAAAGGGAATGACCTGAAGCAACAGCCTGTAGCTGTGCTGTGTTCACTGAACTTTTTCTCAATGGCAATACCAGTGTGTGAAGTGTTAGTCATGTAGTGGCTCAAGTGTCTTTAGTTGAAGAAGCAGGACTGAACAGAATGTTTTGTAGCAGTGATTTTGTTGGCACATGGTTGTGTATTTAAGCTAAATCTTCTTTGGAAATTGTTAAGTTTGAGAGGGAAGCCCCTGAGATTCAGAGAAGAGTCAGGCTGGTTCATGGGGTAAGGAATACAAAGGGCCCTAATGCTAAAAACCTTCACTTTTCAGTCTGGAAGTAGCCTTTATGACATTATTCTGGTTTCCAAGCATGCTTGAAAGTCTTTTTTCTTTGTTTCAGTGCAATATAAACACAAATTTCAAAAGTTACTGCAACATGAGTCACATGCTGTGATATGCAATTGTCATCTCCAGCTGGTTTAGCTGGAGCAGTATTTTTTTAGCTGCTAGTCTATGAACCGCAGATGTCAATGAGTTACTTTTATTGGATCCCTGATAAGTAACTAAGAAAAACAACCCATAACCAGAGGGATTATGGTGATTCTAAAGCAGTCTGCATGGCCCCCGGAAATTTTTTAGGGGTCTGCATATCTGAATATGCTGAAAAACATTGAAATAAAGAGAAGCACACAGTATGAATAAGTCATGTTAGGGTGTTTTTTCACATTTTTGTTTGCAGCCTGTTACCGTAACCCACAATAGGAATGCCTTTGTCAGTGTATGAGATACTGGTTTCAGCTGACAGTCATGTGGAAACACAGGATCATAGAAATAATTTAGGCAGGAAGAGACCTCTGGAGGTCATCTAGTCCAACCTCCTGCTTAAACCATGTTCACTTAGATCAGGTTGCTCGGGTCCAATTAGATTCATGTTGTTCAGGGACTTGCCCAGCCGAGTTTGAATATCCGCAAGGATGGAGATTCCACAGCACCTCTCTGGGCAGTCTGTTCCAGCAGTCTGGTTGGCAGGCATAGTATGCTCTTGCTAAGTCCGTGCTGGCTGTTCCCTATCACTGTCTTGTCCTTCATGTGCCTGGAAATGCCTTCCGTGGGGATTTGTTCCATAGCCTTCCCAGGGACTGAGGTTAGGTAGGCCATCTTGTAGTTCCCCAAATCCTCCTTTTGCTCTTCATAAAGATGGTGATGTCTGCCTTTTCTAGTCGTCGAGAACCTCCCCCAATCACCATGACATCTCAAAGATGATAGAGTGCCCTTGCAATGACACTGGCCAGCTTCATCAGTACCTTTGGATCCATCTCATCTGATCTCATGAATCTCCGTATGTCCAATGAGCTACATATTCCCTATCTCTGTCTTCCTCTTCTGTTGGTAATGTCTCACTCCCTCCCAAAGACTCTGTTGGTAGTGTAGGGGTCTTCAGAGACCTGAGATCAGACCTCAGGGAAAATGGAGCCAAAAAAAGCACTGATTATCTTGATCTTTTCCATATCCTACATTAGTGGGTGATCTGCCCGATAGAGCAC